TTCAAGCAACTTTCTGTTATCGATAAGAGTGAGTTGTTGAATTTTTTTATCAAAATGTAATCAGAAAGAGCTTCGCCACCAATCAGCACTGTTTTCAGGAAATAAATTAGATTATCGTCAGCCACAACAATGTCTTAGCTTTTCCTGCTCTAATTTTGATCTTTCTACTAATCATTTGTAAATCCATTCTAAGATACAATACGTCAATCATTATTACGTGCTTGCAAAAATGTAAATGATGAGAAATGAAGCGCGAGGCCAAATAGAGAGGAAGAAAAGACACCGTCACAATGGTAGTAGGATCTACAGTGTTTCAACAAATGTCGTTGTAAGTGTGGTGCTGATGAAGTTAACAAGGTAGACTGAAGGAAGACTGAAGATGGAATATTCTGAGGGTAATAATATACTGCAGGCTGAGTGGTAACTACCTAAACCTCGTGGTCAAGCTTGCGATCGTACAATAAAAATTGTCTGGAGGAGTGGGAGAACTACTTGGAAATTTGCCGGCATAGCCCACAGAGAAATCTTTATAAGGTTACAAATCTACCACAAATGGAAACTTCATCAACGGTCTTTAACAGAAATTGGACGGACATTCGAACAAGAATCAGCCTGGTAAATTAAAAAGTGACAAATTCTGGGCTTACACTTATTATGTGAGAGTCCTTCCTATATATGCAGATTTTCTATTTGCTCTTTTTTCATTTTTTTCAATAAAACATGACAAAAATTAATCCAAATTGATGAATGGATGAGATAAAAACAGGGAAAAATCAACACCAAAGAACGAGTTACATATACTTTGCAAGCACGGGGACGGAAATGAAATGAAACAGTAAAGGCGTCCTAAATAAACACCATGCAGCAAAGGGCGACAGCACACGACGCGTCGTGTCGTGCGTCGCGGCGTGCTTCAGGGCGACGTAACAGGCGACGCGATGCACTACACGACGTACGACGCGACGCATGAAGGCACGACGCGACGGGCGACGGAAGGGGCGACGTTTAGGCAGAAAAAATGCAACAAGGAAATGACATAAGACAGCACGACGCGACAGGCTATGGCACGACGCGACGCACGTCCCAAGGGAGCCGTCGTGCCGCCACGTCGTGTAGTTGCGTCACCAGGAGGGAGGCTAGAGATAGAGAGAAATGTGTGTCGTAAATAGTACACCATATACCAGACTACCTTGCCGATAATTGGTGAAAGGAGTCAGGATTATATATATGGATGTGTTTATCATATGTCTTTCAAATGTCTTTCAATGTGTTAATTACTTAAACGCCTGAACGTGTGTACAGGCTGTAACACCTTTTATACACTTAGAAACATTTATAAAGGCTATTAAACTGCACATTATTGGATAACGATGACATACGCGTATTCAAGTCACACAGTGACGTGAAGAGTTGCAAGCCTACGGCTTCAACACGGGAACAAAAATGGTTGAAGTACTGTTGACAGACCTTATTTTTGTATAGAAAATTATCACCCATTAGAGATCCTGCAATATATTTGCACGTTATATGCAATGTACCTGTGTAAGATACGAACAAATGCAATTCTGATCAGTCCGATTTCTCTACGTTCGCAACTAAATCAACAGCCGGCAGACGTGCGGGGGGGTGGAGACAGATATCAAAGTGCGCATTCACGTACGTGTACAATAAATTGCTTGCACCTAATTGTGTCTTCAACGCTGGGCCGTGTCTAAACACGGTGTTTATTTTTGGTGTGATTATATATAACCCACTCTGCATCCATATTATACGTAATATCAGCTTATCCACTTACAACATGAGATTTGAATATCATGTGCAGTATAGAGTATTGGCGGAAAATAAGAGAATTCATGTTTTAACCCACAATAAACAGGTGTTTAATGTCCCGATGATAAACACTTTGTAGGGCTATGCTAAACACGTTCCCGTCTAAACGCAACGCGTGTTGAAATGTGTTTACTTTATGAACGCGTCCAACGTTCTTGGTTTTTACAGTGTAAACCATTAATAATGGAAGGGGATCAATCTGAGGTATTTTCAGGGGGAAAATGGTGGTCTTGTTTTTTTGTCACCATTTCGTTTGTTTTATTTTCGGGGGGGGGGGGCGATCATTGCCTGCCCCAATGACGCCAATGGGCATAACAATAACTTGTTATTGATGCCAACCAGAGCATGCTCGGTGGCAGGTTGTCCGTGAGTCATAGAGGGACTTTAAAAGGGTACTAACAGTGTCCATGTTCTTCCAGAAAGGGACAAAATTATTTAAGTTTTCTCACAAAAAAATTTACGGAACGCACGATTTTGGGGTAGTTTTATATTCCCTTCCTTTGAGTCGAGCCAGTAGCCTCCCAAATTCAGCCTTCCTCTCTAAGAGCCGCTACGTATAGCAGATTTAATAAAGAAATTCACTAGTTGTATTGCCCCTCCAAAAACGAATTTGGTTCCTTGACCATTTGGTTCCCTTTGCTGTTTCACGGAAGCCAAAGAAATCCCCAGGTTAGCCTTTCTTGATCTTTGTGGGCGCAAAGTTGGCTGAGAAGGTGTGTTACTTTAGCCAGGATCCCGACCGACGCCAGAATGGTCGTCTTCGCTGGGTCTTGCCTGGGAGTAAGAGCGACCACTGTGCGTGTGCGTGATTGATCCCAATTTCACAGCGCTGCTAGCCATTCTATTTTAAGGCTAACAGTAGCTCCGCGTATTTATTGGAGACCGAATCCACCTTGAGCCAGAAGCACCCCCTCATCGGTTGAAAGACCCATGCTTGAAGGGGGTGCTCGCTACTTCGCTTTGTTGGTATATAGCTGGGTCATTCCATGGGGTTGAGGCATAATTTCAGACACTGTCCATTGTTACGTGGGTTCCGTAATAATGAACAGCTATTTCCCTGCATGTAGATTCCAAATTGACATTGTTATACATCTTGCAAGGCTGAATACAGAAGTATGTATAATTTTACAAAGTAAATGGTCTACTCTACGGGTCAG